CTGCACACGCAGCTTCCATACAGGATTTGGTGAAGGACCCACCCGCTTCACTGCCCAGCACGTATGGCTATCTGAATGGAAGTGTCCCTTTGCAAACGTTCACTGCAGAGCCAGAAAACAATCACAAAGCCAAAGGTGGACGTGCCATTCGTCACAAGCTTGCGCTACACCATCCGAACGTAGATTGGACTGGACCACGAACGACCACCGGATGGAGCAGTCAACAATGGGAAAGTCTGGCATGGACGGATTTAAACCTCACCGCCCAGGAAGGTGTTTCGCACGTGCTCCTCGCCATCAATGTGGACAAGGGCGCAGAATTTGCCCTCCTCCCTGCAGACTCAGACTCCGCCGTGCCTTTGCGCTGGCACAACGGTGATCTCTACAGCTACAACGAGGCTCCGACGCCTCTGCGGCGGATGAGCGCCGAAGAAGCAGCAGGTGTTCCTCTGCCGCACCTGATCCGCGTAGCGCCGGGCTCCTACAAGCTACTTGTGAGAGTATTGTACGAGATTCGCCTGCTTGGCGATCCAGACAGTTCTCAGCCTACGGGCGTACCCAACGTGGAAGTAGGAATCCATATCGAACTCCTCTCTTCGCGCCCTGGATCTGAGGCAGCTAGCGCCATCGTTGTGCATGGCGCTCTGCTACGGCAAGCAGACATTGTTGGAGGGCACTTTGCAGGTCACGGTCTTGGTCTAGGCATTCGCAATGAAGGATCGCATCCTGTCATTGTTGAAGCGGTCCGCGCTTTGGGACCTCTTGCGAAAGTGAGTCCTATCTCGAATCTTTCTCGCGAAGCATCTTGCTGATGTTGCAAGCAAACACTTCATCCTGCAGTTCTTGGTGCCGACCCTCCCGAGGAGGGACCTTGCGATCGAAGCCTTGCAGACGCGTTCGGTCTTTGTCCACATTCAGCAGCTTGCTCCAGTGCCGATGACGTTCAATAGTAGCGGACTCGTCGAGTTGGAGGTCGAAGTGTTCTTGCGCTCGTCGAATCCTGGCATGGCTACACAGAAGCTGTCGGTATCCTTCGCTTTGCGATCGCGACCAAGTCCTTTTTCGTCTGCCGGCCGGCATCTCTCTGCTCGAGACGCTTCATACACATTTACATATCCGACTGCAGATGGAGCGCTAGAGCACGCCGTCGCCATTCCGCCGCATTCTCCACCAAGTTACGCGAGGGGGCAGAGCAGACCTGTCGTTCTTGGACTTCACGGAGCAGGCGTCGAGGCCACAGACTCAGCGTGGGCATCATCGTTCACAAGGCACCCAACGAGCTGGATCGTGCTTCCCACCGGGCGCACATCGTGGTGAGTCTCAGCCGATCGAAAGAGTGATGCGAGAGCTCACAACTCGCTCGCCTACTTGGTCACCAAAAGGGGCTACGACTGGCAGCTCACTTCCTCCAGCGCTGCCACGTTGGCGCTGGACACTCTATCGCATCACCTCTATGGTCTGCCTCCTGAACTCGAATATCGCGAGCTCTGGCACTTCGACCCGAGCAGCATATACGTTTTAGGTCACTCTAACGGCGGGCAAGGAGCAAATCAGTATATTTCGCACGTTCCTGACAAGGTCATTGGAGGCGCTGTCTTGGCGGGCTACATCAAGGTGAGCTGCGCAGCGCACTGTGTCCGTGCAACTCAGAGCGCTGAAGACGTTTCCACATGAAGATTCGAGACTATGTATCCTTTGATTGGGGCACTTCTCACCATGTGGCAGATCCTGCCCTAATCGGCGTGAGTACGCTGTCTGACGCTGTTACGCAGCCGATGCTGACGCGGCTGGGAGCTGACAACTCGCATTGTGTGCCACAGATCCTCTCGACGTCATTGAGCACATTCGAGAATGATTTGCACGCCAGCAACATGGTTGGCACTCCTTTGCTGTACAAGTACGGCAAAGAGGATGACAATGTCCCAACGTGGCACTCGCGAAGTATGGCCGCATTGGTTCAATCTTGGAATGCTCGGTCCTTCGAAAGTCTTGCAACCCAGTCCTTTGTCTCGGTGTCGGAAGTGCCGGCGCGGGGACATTGGTGGGATACCATCATCCAAGAGCATGACGTGCAACTTCACCTGAATCGGACCTTTGAAATCCAGCAGTCAAAGTTGCAGTCCTTCACCTTGAGTTGTGCCAATCCAGCCGAAATCGGCAGCATGCAAGGTTTTCGTATCATTGAGCTCGAAATACCTGGACGGTGAGGTATGGGCTGTACACAGTTATAGTGATCTTGCTGCTGATCCCCTAGCTTCCATTCCGCAGCTTGGCACGGCTTTCGGTAGAATTTCACACTTCAGAAGAGACCTGGCCTGAACAAAAGGTCAGCGTCAAAACTTTTGGCGTACAAGCGTTCTCCATTGCTGTCAACAGATTAGCGTGGAGAAATAGCAGCTTTGAGGCGCCTCTGAGTGTTAGCGTCAACAATCGAGCAGTACACTTGTCAGGTCAAGCAGACAGTCACACGTTGCTCTTTGAGCGCCAACAGGATGGCTCTTTCGCATGTGCGAATGCGCCGAAAGACGTCGGTGGCCTTGCTGGTCTGGGATATGTAAGACCCATCGGTCCAGCCATTCGGTACGTTTAGTATCCAGCAAGCGGTGATGCCCAAAGTCCTAGTGTGCTGAAAGCCTGCGCATATCCAGCATTTTATCCACCCCGGCGCCTCTGCTCCTCGTACTTCCGACGCGCGCCTCCCAAGTTTCCCGAGAGCACTACAAATCGGCAGCGCTCAGGATCGCGCACGATGCGCTCTTGTACGGTCATACCGACTCTGAAATCGTCCCAGATGTGGCCGCATTAGAGATGGTGGCAACGATAAACGATAGCGCGAATGCCACGCTTGGCAATATCGTGATCCTTGGCGGACCGATGGAAAATTTGCTAGCGGAGTACATGTTCAGTCAGAATCCATCGCCGAGTAAGTCGTGGATCGAGGCAAAATGAGCAAGCAGCAAGCCCTCCTGCCTGCCTGATGATGCATTTCGTGTCTCTTTCGTTCTTCTCTTCCAGTCACTTTCTTGAACGACGGTCAAGTGCGCGTTCGAGATCGCACCTTTGCCGACCCGTCTACTGGTAAGTTGAGCTACGCATCGCATGGCTTCGAATACTTGGGACTTTCAAGAACTTATGCTCTCCTCGCCTCGACCGCCCGCCCAGGCCTTCTCATGCTGCAACCTCACCCAGTGACTCATCAGCGCTCCCAAGACTTGGCTCTGCTGCTGTGCGGCAACGACGCGTCAGGCATCGAAAGAGCCGCGAAGCTATTCCCAGTGCGGACTGGATTGAGCGTACCGGAATGGATCGTCATTGGACCAGAAGCCGATTGGAGTGGAATCGGGGCAATCCTCGGCGCAGGGTAAGTCGCATTCTCAGGCATGTCTCTTGCTTGGCCAACGCTTGCCTCTCCACAGTCTAGGCGGCTCACCTGAAGTGCGCCTTTTCAATCATCACAGCTGGTTTGATCGACGATGGCAATGGTCCGAGTCCATGTCATGGCTCGCTTAAGGTTCGCACGTGCCCTTCCCGCTTTGCCTCCTACGCTATGGAGCCAGCGAAGTGCTTTGAATATGTTTGATGATCATTTCATTCAAAGGCATTGCTTTGCATTGCTTGTACTCTGAACACTGGTCAAGGGCTGGATTGTCGATCCCCCTACTCGTAGATCTGAGAGTCGAGGACGCGGTTGTACTGTGCGAGTGAAGTGTTGGTGTAAGATGTCTATGAGGCACCGGCACTGATAGCTGCGCGCTCTCATTGCTCACCTCGATGGTGGGGTTCTGCTCGCCGAACCACAAAGCGATCTCCTTCTTGGCGCTCTCAACTCCGTCAGAGCCGTGGCTTCAAGTGAAGGAAAACAAAGGATCGAAATTAGTTCGATCGCTGAGCATGGATGCTCGTGCATCTTCGATGCTCACCAAATGTTGCGTCCGACGTCGATGCCGCTGAAGTGTGCGCAGAGTCAAGTTGTAAGCCACGCGAGACTGAGATGAGCGGATTCAGTGCGAAAGACAGCAGAAACAGACGACTCACAAGTCGCCGCGGATGGTGCCGGGAGCGGAGGCGAGAGGGTTGGTGGCGCCGAGCAGGACACGGCCTTGCTTGACAACATCCTTGCCTTGGAAGACGAGGGCCATGACTGGGCCGCTAGCCATGTACCTGTAAGAGAGGAGAAAGGTGGTTAGACACGAGTAGCAACGTGCTCATCTTCTTGCAGCCCCGCCCATTGTCCCAGACTTGATTCAAGAGTCAAAGCTAAACGCGTACGACTGGCCAATCGTGGTCGCTCGAAGGCAATGCACTCATTTGAAGGGACACAACTCACTTGACAAGTCCGGGGAAGAAGGGCTTTCCCTTGAGATCGGCGTAGTGCTTCTCGAGGTGCTCGACGGAGGCGTGGACAAGCTTGGCAGCAACGAGCTTGTAGCCCCTCTTCTCGAAACGGCCAATGATTTCGCCGACCAGACCGCGCTGAACGCCGTCTGGCTTGACCATGATGTATGCTGCGACGAGGGCAGGATAGATTGGAGGAAGATGGCGTGAGCTTCGGCTTGGCAGCGTTGCTGCGATGCGGCTGTGCACGACACTCACTTTGCTCGGTAGCCATGTTGTGTAGTGTAAGGGGTGGTTGGACAGGTGTGTATGCTTGGGATGGATGACGGTGGGCTTCACGCAACCACTGCAACTCTTTGTTCGCTCTGATCAGACTGCCTCTTTGACTTTCAAAGTTTTGTTTCTGCTGAGCTTGCCAGACCCAAAGCACTGCTACAAAGACGACGACGGGCCAAAGCCAAAAGAACTTGTTCGAAAGTCGAGCGCTGCCTTCTCTCAGATTGGCTCGTG